GTGGGTCCAACTCTGAAGGGCAGGGTTGTGTGAGGAGCAGGTGGAGAGTGTGGGGGCCTCTGCAGTGGGGAGGCTGGGTGTGAGCATAGGCCAGGACTGTGTTGACAATGTGTGTGGAACTGTGGGCAGTGGGGCATATCAGTGGCAGAAGAACTGTGCTTCTCAAATAGCCCCATAGGGGATTGAGCCCACTTTCGAAAGTCTGAAACAACTGGGTGTTCCTGTTCCTGGGGCTGACCCCATTCAGCTGAAATCCTGAGAGAGCTGACAAGAGCCTTGCAGGCCAGAGGGCTACAGCAATTGTAAGTCCATGAGCATAGCAACCAGACACACTGGGGGCCTACTCACTTAACAGATATACTGCAACAGGGATGTTCTATTAGACCTTGCAGCCACCTGGGCTGGGGCTCCCAAAACTGATAAACTGGCTGAAGGGTGCATAGAAGCCACATGCAGCTGAGACAGGGGGCACAGCCTAGCCTCCCTGGGCACCTGCAGGAAGAGCAACCCTGCCACAACAGAAGAAAACATGTAGCTCATACAGGGGTCACTCTTGGAACATTTGGAACTGGTGACAAGAGGGAAGTACACTGCTGGGCCTCATAAGGCGTTTCTTACACAAGGCAACTTCTCCAAAACCAGGAGATACAGCTGGCCTACCTAATACATAGATATAAGCACAGAGAAAGAGGCAAAATGAGGAGGCCAAGGAATAAGTTCCAAGCAAGGGAACAGGACAAAACCCCAGAAAAAGAACTAAATGAAACAGAAATAAACAATCTATCTGACAAAGAGTTCAAACAAAAAGTCATAAGGGTGCTCTCAGATCTTGGGAGAAGAGTGCATGAACTCAGGGAGAATGTCAACAAAGAATTGGAAAATATAAAAAAGAACCAATCAGAAATGAAGAATACAATACTGAAAATGAAAAATTCACTACAGGGACTCAATAGCAGAGTAGATGATACAGAAGAACAGAGAAGTGAGCTGGACAAAAGACTAGAGGAAATCACCCAAGCTGAACAGATAAAAGGAAAAAGAATGAAAAAGAACAAAAACAGTCTAAAGGAACTTTGGGAAACATCAAGTGCACTAACATTCGGACTTAGGTGTCCCAGAAGGAGAAGAGAGAGACAACGGGTCAGAGAGTCCATTTGAGCAAATAATAGCTGAAAACTTTCCTAACCTAAGGAAGGACACAGACTTCCAGGTACAGGAAAAATAGAGAGCAGCAAACAAGATAAACTCAAAGAGGCCCACACCAAGGCACACTGTAATTAAAATGTCCTAAATTAAAGGTAAAGAGAGAATCCTAAAACCTGCAAGAGAAAGGCAACAAGTGGCATACAAAGGACACTCCAAACTCTGTCAGATGACTTCTCAGCAAAAACCTTACAGGCTACAAGAAGTGGCAAAATGTATTAAAGGGCTGGAAGGAAAAAAGCTACAGCCAAGAAC